GTTAACTTTTCAACTAACAAGATATTGATACCCGTATCTCAATCTTTAATCACGTACTAATCATTAACTATAACCAAATCCACGAGTAAACAATTTTGGCCAGTAAGGATGTCATGGGAATAAAAAAATAATTTGGCCAGTGAGAGATGTGTGTCGCATATATCCGAAAATTTGTATGTTCGTTGTTTTTATCAAATGATATTTTGTACGCTTAACCCCAACTGTAAACTCGATGATAGTCGCTATATATTTTCTTGTCAACAAAACAATTAATACTACTACAAAAATCACATATAATGTACATTTATACGATTTCTCTGCGTAACTTCGTTATTATATTTTGGTCAAAAAAATGTCCTATGCTTTATTGTCATGGAATATAACTAATGTAAATGTTTCTGTAATATATCTATTAAAACTGACCCGTCCAAGGAATAAGTCAGCAGAACCCAGTAATTGCATGGGACTCGAGACAATAGCCATTAGTATTTTTTCCGTTAACATAATATTTTAGTTTAGCTTGCATGGTACAATTAGTCGTAGCACCTTTTTGAGCGTCAAGATAGTATTAATTAGCCTATTAGGCTTCGTGGAACGAATAACTCGAAGTTTTCTTTTAGGAACAACTCACGTTTACTATAGTCTATATCGAATCGATAAAACAATTTATTCCAGTTTCCAGCTATACATATTGAGTATAAAATACTAATTTCAGTTAAAGTTTCATAGAAAAGTATTGAAATCCATATCACAAATTCAAATTCAACCACAAAACAACATTTAAATTTTTGTGAGTTCCGTTTAGAAAGAAAAAAATGAGTTCCGTTTAGAAGGAAAATAAAGCTCCTTTGACCCCAAAAGTAAACACAAAGCTCTAATATATAGTTAAGATATTTTGTGAAAAAACAATTGTCTTTCTTGGTATGTAGAGTAACTACGCTTAGTACCCTATTATATTGAACATTTAAATTTTGGAAAAAAAAACTAAAAACAAAGATCTTCAAAACTTTAAGCCATGCGGGTGCGTAAAAGTACTTCACTTATTCATTCTGAAAACTTTCACAACACGCTACAATTTTCCAAATTTAAAATAATAAACTAAAAGTGCACGAAAAAAAAAAAACTAAAACGACAGTGTTCCATTAGAATAAAAGCTCACCAACTCGAAACATTCCACGTTCAAGATTAATCCACCATTAGTGTGTAATAAACAAATAATCACCTTTTATTCCTTATCACTGGTTGTAATTATTTGATTCATGGTTCAATTAGTTGCATGAATTCCAGAACAAATTATTTGCATGAATCATTCTCATAACGAAGATACGAGTTAGGTTTGGTACCGTATAACAAAACAAAATGCAGATTTTTTGGGCAATTAATCAATTAACTGGCCACCAAATTACGTGCTACCGATCAAATCTCTTGAGATTTGAACATTATCATCCAATGGTTCCCAAATCGCAAAATAAAGGTAGCTAGTGGCCGCATTATGTCTACTTGCAATTTTTCCATTAATTTAGAATATATATATATATATATATATATTTTTTTTTTTTTTTTGGTTAACAGAGAAATAACTATTCTTAATTAGCAACATAAAATTATACTAATACTTGTTGATAGTTCTTTCAAAAATATAAAAATCTCACACCAAATTTTCATTTGAAAATAATATAAATTTCTTAAATTTTAAAAATAGTTATTTTTAAGTTTATATATAGAAAACTAAATACTAGAATAATTTTTTATTAAGAGATTCACTTTAAAGTAATGTTGTTGTAGTTTCCATCCATATTCCAATGGATCATTTAGTCAAATGTAGATAGTATTGTAATTGTACCTATAGTTTTTGTGTTTGCCTACACAGGATATAGAAGAATGTGCGTTCCTACTGGCTGGGGAAGAAATAGTTGTCATAATAAAGTTTTCAATTGTTTTTTATCTTTCTTTCCTCTAAAAGAATTCTCAATGATTTTTAAATCTAATCACATTTGTAATTATACATCAACGAATATCATGTACTGTTCAGGCATTTATACATAATAACTATATAAGCACGCATTGTCGACGACTAGTGTTTTATAACATTAACCATCTCTCTCTCCCTCTCTCAAAATTTGAAGATTCCGCCATTGTTGGTGAACAAGTTCAATTTCAGTCCAAACTACAGTCAAGATTGCTGGTTCGTGTTCTTACCTATTATATCATATTCTGATTTCAATATTTTCCTTTAGATCTACATAATAATCTTGTTTTCATTTTTCACAAAAATAAAATAAAATAAAATAATCTTGTTTTCATGTCTATGTACATACGCTTGGAAAACAAACGAAGAACTCTACAAATCCTAATCGAACAATTGTTTTTACTGTTATACATATAAATTTCACGCATACATTCATTCATCTATGATCTTTCAAACACATATATGTTGCTCTCGCATAGAAAATAAAAGTGTACAAATTAAGCATTAAATCACATTATATATACATTACGTACATTAGAAAACAATAATTTTCTTTGTCAAAAAGTAGATAAAACGAAATAATTGATGAATGTAATGTTAAATTCATTGCATGTTGAAAATGTATCTCTGATTCTTATCAATTGACACCCTAAACCCAAAGTGACGCAGCTTCCAGGTTCAATATCATTTGTTACTATTTTTCATCATAATTCAGTGATCTCATTTTTTTTTCATTGATGTCATTTTTTAGAACCTGTAAACCAACAAAACTGATTTTTACCGAATTTAAATTAAAAACTTTCCAGTCCTTGTTACATCACCCCCAAATGTAGCAATCTTAATGGTTTCAGAATATATATGATGATTCCGTCCAAATATCTCCTCGACTAATTTTCTCCTTTTCGCGTTACAGGAAAACCAAAACGATTTATACACAAGTGTGCATTTTCTAATAGTTCATTTCACTATTTGTACATAAAGTTACTAACCGGAAAAAGATAAAATAATAGAATTTAATTATATAAATTATGAATATATTATCATGAGTTTAATATATATATATATATATATATATATCAAATAAATAACTTTTTTTAGTAATTTATAATTTACTTACGATGGAAAGTTAGAAAAACATACTACATGAAAAAGGAAAACAAAACATATTTATCTTATTGTTTATTTTATAAACTGTCTTTCTTATATGTATATATATTAATTATAATACATATCTACTAAATTTTACTATAATATTCTATTAAAATGGTTTTATTTTCTACTTATTAGATATTCTGGTTTTATTGGAAATGGATTACTTTTATATATAAAAATGTTATATATATATATATTAGAATTTTTGATTAAATAACATTAATCCTTCAAATTTATCATTCTTAAGTGAAAATCATTTTAAAAATATTTAGATATTTAAAATATAATAATATGACTAAAATAATCAATTTTACTAGTTTACTCAATGTTACTAAAATTACAGGTATGCATAATATGACATATAATTTCATATCCCATTCAATTTAGTATATAATAGTATAAAAAATAATAAACAACCTTAATATAAACAATGATATTTAAAGTAGAAAATATAGAAATAATTGATATATATATATATATATTTATGTAGATGATGATCTATCATGAACTTTTTTTATATATATAATATAACTCATAAGAAAATAATAAGAGAAAAAAGCATATTTATTTCTTTGTTTGCAAGAGGACAAACTGATGTCAGGAGAAATAGTGGTACGAATCTTCCAAGATAATGAAATGTCTTCCATATAGTGTAATAATAATACTCAAAACAGAGCCAATGCACTGTCTTTTAGTTTTCTTATAGGATCATAAATGTTAAAAATCTAGGGTAGACAAAAAAAAAAACTCATAATATTGTTTTAAATTATAGATTGACAAGAATGTTTTAAAAAGTCTATATATATTCTGAAAACAAGGCAAGTATCCAGAAATTAATAAACATTTTGGTCAAAAATATATTCTGAAAATTAAAGTGAACTGAAAATGTATAAAATACAGACATTTTATAATTTTATAAGATTTAGATCTTTTACATTATTTATGGCACAAAAATAATTGGTGAAAAACTATTATAACATACGTTTTTAGAAATTGATTAAGTTATTTTAATTATAATTAATTAAATAACTAGAATTTATCATTTAGTCACATAAAAATAAAATTTATTAAAATGTTAATATTATGAAAAGTGAGAAACTTTGATGCTCTTTAACTCTGGGTTTTGTCGACAATCGGCTCTTCTCGTCTGTTCTGCACGTACACTAAACACGATTCTGATCCAAAAGGTTTAACACTTTATATATATCTTTTATTTATAAATCGCCGTTTCTGTGCAGAGACATAACTCGAAAACAGAACACAACTGTAAAGAGTCTGAGAAATTGGTCGGGTAGGGAGGGAAAGAGGTTTTAATTGTCTCTTGTCTCCTAACTCGCGGCCACTTCGCCGCCAAGACTCTGATTGGGCCGCCATTGATGAACCCAGACCCAGTCACAGACATAACGTGAATGTTCTGTCTATTTCAATTTTCCCTTTATATTATCTCACACGGAGACACTTAAAAAATAGAAAATAACAACTTTATTCTTTTGCTGGATCTTGAAGATAACAAAAACCAAACCCGACCTAGTTCCTCGTCGGCCAAAACATAGTTTGACTTCTTGTTGTTGTTGCGTCATTGCTTCTCACGGAGTCAAAGGTACACACAACTTTCACCTTTGGATTTTGATTATTCTATTCACTTCCTGAGTTTCAGGAACCGTCTTTTTGTTTAATCGATTAGTTTAAGTTGTTGTCAAGACTTCGTACTAATGTAAGTTCAGAGAATGGAGTCCTTGTTCTTGTTCCTAATGGTTTTCACACTTTGGTTTAGGTTTGAACATTGAGGGATTTACGGTCCGTGAACCGCGGGGAGGCTACAAGAAGAGTTTCTATAAAGGAAAATAAACCAACTTTTTGTTTTGAAGTTGTGATTGAGATGAAGAGTGTAGAAAGAAGTGAAGTTGTTGATGATGAGTTCTTTGATTCATCTGATGTTTTGTCCATTGGACAAGTAGAGGAAGAGGAGTTTCAAGTTTGGTCAGGTGAGCCTGTTAGTGTCGAGGAACGTCGTGAACGGTTCCTCAAGAAAATGGGTCTATTAGAGGAGAAACCGAACTCCTCCTCGATGTGTTTCGAGAGGATAAATGATTTCAGCGATGAGGTTACTAGCTCTTCAGAGTCATCTTGTGGTGACAGTGAGTTGCAGTGTTGTGTTAGGGAAGAGAACTATGGATCAACTAATTCAATGTCTGATGAGGAAGAGAATGAATCAGAACAAAACTCAAGTAATGCTTCTTCATCTAGTCCATCACCGAGTTTCAGCAAGAAGACGAGCGCGAAGAAATGGTTGTTCGAATGTTTCGTAGGAGAAGATGATAGACATTTCGAATACAAGTCCAAGGAAGAAGTGATGATGAGCAAAGTGAAAGTGAAGACTAACAAGAAGAGTCATGTGGAGTTATCTGCAGCTTACAAGGTACAAGAGATTAATGGACACAAAGGGAAGATTTGGGCGTTAAAGTTTAGTCCGGATGGTAAGTTCTTAGCAACCGGAGGCGAAGATGGTGTTGTAAAGATATGGAGAATCACGTTATCAGCTTCTTTTGTCGGACAAGAGCTAATGAGGGAACAAGGAGCATTGGTTATGTTCCCTCAAAAAGCTTTTAATATAGAAGAAACACCGTTTCACGAACATTATGGTCACACTGGAGATGTCTTGGACTTAGCATGGTCAGATTCAAATGTGAGTGTATTAGTCTTTTTGTTGTTTTTTTCTTTTTGCAGATTTTCTTGAATCATTTTCTTATGAGAATCTCTCTTTGTGTGTTTGCAGTTGCTTCTTTCAGCTTCTAAAGACAAGACAGTTCGGTTATGGAGAATTGGTTCTGGTCATTGTCTCCATGTCTTCCATCACAACAACTACGGTAACTTTTTGATCCTTAACTCATTTTAAAAAATAAATAGGTTTAGTAAAAAGTAACTCACTGTTTTTGCGTTTTTTTTGTTGGTAATACAGTGACGTGTGTTCAGTTCAACCCTGCGAACAAGAACAACTTCATAAGCGGATCCATAGATGGAAAAGCTCGAATCTGGGGTGTATCAGAACAACGAGTCGTCGCTTGGACCGACGCTCCTGACTCCATTTCAGCGATCTGTTATCAACACAACGGAAATGTAATTGTTTTCTTTTATTTTTTTTGCATTCAGACAAAACATCATTAAAGTTAGCTGAGATTCTAAATATCGCAGCTTTGCTCTGTTTTTATGTATTCAGGGATTCGTGGTTGGTTGCATCACCGGAGATTGCAGGTTCTACCAAATCTCATGTAACGATGTGTTAACGGAGGAGCAGATTCATATCCGGGGACGTAACAGAATCACCGCCTTGGAGTTTTGTCCTGGAAGCTCCGAGAGAGTCATGGTATCCTCCGACGATTCGAAGATCCGTATTTTCGATAGATCACAACTCGTTCACAAATTCAAAGGTATTTTAATAACTGAATCTTTGAGTTTCTTACAGTTTACTCTTTCGAGTTTGTGTTTTTGATTTCTGAAAATTTCTTCTCCAGCCTCGGCGAAGTTTGGGAGACAATCGTCGGCGTCGTTTGTTTCTTCCGCCGGGAAACATATTGTATCAGTGCGACGAGGACACGGTGTCTTCCTCTGGGAGAACGATGGATTTCCGGCGAAAAAGTCGCGCTCTTTCGAGTATTTTAACTCGCCGGGTGTTTCCGTCGCGGCGGCTTGCTCTCCGACGGGAAAGGAAGTGGCGATAGCGGCAGGAGAAGACGAGGAATCTCGGCGAGCGTTGAGGCAGAGTCAGAGCTCCGGGAGATTGTCTCGTTCCTCTCGTGTAACCGCCACGTGGCCGGAGGAGAAGCTTACGTCCTCCTTATGCGGGGCGTGGAGTCTGGTGATTGTTACGGCGAGTTTAGATGGGGTGATTAGGACTTTCCATAATTACGGATTGCCATGTTAGTTGTAGAAATATAGAGGTTTCGATTGTAATTTTTGAAAGCATGAAAATCATTTAGAAATTAGCAAAGCCGACATGTGTGGATACCATTGTGGTTTAAGTAAAAAACAATTGTTACAAGTATGATTTTAATGTAAAATTACTCGAGAAAGCAACAATCAAACCCCTCAATTTTCAAATTAAAAAAAAAAAATCTGTGTTAAAAAAAAACAATGGAAAATCATACTTTTAAATATTAGATAGTTCAACTTTTATATTCTATTGATTCAACTTTTCTAAAAAGTATGAAAAAGTCAAAACAAACTCAAGTAAAGGCCGTTCTATCTAAATACTTTAGTGTTTTAAAAATCATTTTATGTAAGGAAATTCCAAATAGATTTCATTTTCCTCCTTCGAAAATCTAATCCAGAGTTCGATGTCATCTTCTTCAAATTGATTAGAGGTAATCTTCGATGAAAAAAAAATCTACGAATGCCTTTGAAATAGATTTGGGGAAGATGATTGAATTGGAAACTATGTATTCAACTGAAGAAAATGAAATTAATTTGAGATTTTTCTTTAACACAATAATTTTTAAAACGCCGTTGTATTGGATATAACGTTTGTTATTCGAGTTTCGCAGTTGACTATTCAGATTTTTTTAAATGGCTAAATCAATAAAATATAAAGTTAAAGTGATCAATATTTAAAAATTGAAATTTTTTTTGATTCAAACACGAGCTTGAAGGTTTTTTTTACTTTAGTTTGGAAGTTTAGGGTTTTAATGGTTTTTTCAAAATTATTTTAAGGGTACATATTTCTTTCTATGCACAAATTTTCTTAAAGAACTTTAAAATGTTTTTTAATTTGAATATCATACATATTATTAGATCAGTATTAGTTGATAAAATGTGTTTATAGTATGTTAAAATAGAACATTGAGCTGAACTGCACCACCGAAATACCATCAAGGTTGTGTACATCATTATCTTCTTGATAAGTTTGCAGATGAACTATGTGAAGGAATTCTTATCGACATCTTCAGTTTTAATAAGCAAGATTGTAGTAAGAACTATAAAATTTTCGATTATAAATTTCAGATAAAAATGATTGAGAGAACAACAAATGCATGTGTGAAACACGCATTACCTCAAATACTTCGTGAAATTTTTTGATTATAACTATGAAAATTTTCTCATCAAAAGAATACAAGAAACTATTTAGACGATAATATTCACGCATTTATATAGATATATATGTACATGTATATCTTATTATATAAACTTATTTTTTCACACTGCAATCAGTATATTAATAATATCGAAAAACAGATGTTCATAGTCAGATTACACCCGTCCGCTGAAGAGTTACTCTAATTTTATTATTAGGAACTAGATGTCTTGCCCGCACTTGCGGGCATAATTCTCTTATAAATATTTATTAGTTGATGTTTCATTAATTTAAAAATCAGCATAATAAATTATTATTTATGTTTTCAAAAAGTACAAATCAAACATCAAATAATTATCACAAAACTAAAACGTTAGAAATATTTAAAAGAATATATTTCTATAATTATTTTGCTTGATTTATATTTAATTATAATATTTGTACTTAATTTATATTTTATTATAATTTTTTATACCTTAATTTTAAATTTGTAATATAAAACATATTTTTAAGATAAAAATATAATGAATAAGTTATTTATTTTTAATTATACAAAATTATAGGAATTATGACATATAATTGAGATTGCCTAAAATCATAGAGAACTTAATAAATCAGCAAATTCACTTCTTTTTTTTTTTGGACAAACTTCAATTTATAGATTCTTATTCTCCAAGAATGGAGAAAGTGTTTACAGAACCTGATAACATAGCCATCTTGGCCAAAGAAACAACTATTACATGGAAACAAATACAGCACATAAAGATAGGGGCAAACACCACACTTAAACAACTAATGATGTAGAGAAGTCCTCTGAACTCAACGACCATACAGCTGACAAGTGAGACGAAGCCTTGGGAATTAGAGACCACAGAGAGTGATATGCTTCCCGAGATTGAAACAGCAGCAAGTGCACAATTAACAATCTTTAACATGGCTAAACAGCCTTTGATTAGAACTTCAGTATTTGAAGTATCTCTAATCTTTAACATTAAACTCCCTGCACCAAAACCACATAAAGTAGTTGATGAAATTGGGAGAGAAACAAGCTCCATAAATAAGGAACCTGAATAATAATAGACGTCCGATAAGACCCGATCCACGGGATGAATGGAAATGTGAAACATTAATCCATTAAGCTGCCATAGCTGAACACAAAAGGACTTGAATACCACAAAGGTAGAACTGTATAACACAGTAAAAGGACACACGAAAGGAATATGCCAAACCAAAGATATCAACCCATTACTGAAGAACAAGCTCAAGGATTTCTGAGAAAAACCCTGGTTTAGTAGGAGAGAATGGGGGAAGGAACCCCCTGTTATAGCAACAAACACCTTGACAAGCTTAATGAACTGGAGCTGAAGGTATATGATTTTACCGGAGAAAGAATTGTGAGATCCTGAATCAACACACCGGCAAAGAGACAAGCTGCATACTGCAAGAAGTAAACGCTTGGAGGCAAAGCTTGTGTCACCAACATACCCAAGAGAGACAACATCAACACTGATCCCAAAATCCAGATTCAACAGAAGAGATTCTAAATCTAGAGATTTAAATATCGTTTGAGAGAAGGCTAAGGATGTGTCGAAGAGTTTAAGGAGCACGGGATTGGAGGATGAGTCAGGTGGATCTGGCGGTTCTGGTGGAGACGGAGCTTCAAGCGGCACATGAAGAAGCGTACACGGCGGCGGCGGCGGATCGGGAGGAGGACGGAGCTGCGACGGAGAAGACGGGGGATGGAGCCGCGACGGAGGAGACAGATACATCAAAGGAACCATGAGAATGGTGAGCTGCTTCAAAGGGTAAACGACCTAGTGACCAAGCTGAAACTGCAGGGAGAAGCCATGGAAGCGGCACCTAGGGAACTGGGCCAGAGAGAGTTTTAGGGCGAACTCGTCTCGCTTTTCCTTCTTCTCGTAGCAAATTCACTTCTTAAATAATTTTCTTGAGTGATGATTTATATTTCATTAATAATAGATTATTTTCTATTTTAGTTTTAAATTATATAATATAAAAATATATTTTCAAGATAACAACATAATACATAAGAATTTCTTTCTATTCTAAAAGTATAATATTATTAGTGTAAATTTATGTCAACTATAGAATAAATACAACTTTTTATATCTTAACTGTATTTTCAAAACAACAACTTAATACATAAGAAGTATCTTTTTTGCTAAGAATCTAATACTATTAATACATTTTTTTTATAAAAAATAGAATAAATTATCTATAAATTTTAGAAATTAAGATAAATTATCAAAATTACCTAAACTCATAAAAATATGACAAATCAGAAAACATCAAATTCACTTCTTAAATAATAGTATAGACTTTTTACATGTTAATTTTAAATTTATAATAGAAAATTATATTTTCAAGATAACAGCATAGTACATAAGAATTAAATTTATTTCTAAAATATCCTATTATTAATAGAAATTAGTTTTAATTATATAATCAATAATAAACAAAATTAAAGAAATTCTAATAAATTATCAAAATTACCTAGGATCATGAAGACAAATCAACAAATTCACTTATCAAATAATTCTTTTGATGATTTATATTGAATTATTAATAATATAATTTTATATCTTAATTTAAGTTTATAATAAGAAAATATATTTTCTACATAAGAACATAATACATAAGAATTGTCTTATTTAGAAAAATATAAAATTCTTAGTATAAATTCGTTTTAGTTTTATAATACATAAATATTTTTTATATCTTAATTTAAAATTTAATTTTTATATAGAAAATATATGTCAAGATAACAACATAATTCACAAGAATTATCTTATTTTCTAAAAATATGATATATTCATATAAATTCATTTTATTTATAAATAAATTATATATAAAATTTAAAAATATGATAATAAACAAAATTACCTAAAGTTATGGAGAATATGACAACTAAGCAAATTTACTTCTTAAATAATAGTATAGATGTATTTTTTTTCTATTCATAATAACTGTATCACTTTTTCTCTATGAATTATTAGTCCAATTTCATTAAGCAATTTGCATTTTTCTTTTTATTTTCTACAAAAACTCTATTTTATACATTGAATTTAAATACAGCAACTTTATAAGTACAATCCGCAGGACTATTTGATGATATAAATCGCTCTGGGAAATGTGATAATATTGTTCTTAACAGATAAGTGTTTTTAACAAAACATATCAAGGTGTAATTTTTTCATCAACATCTACTGAACTAATTTTTTAGATGTTTATTTTATTAGTTAAGTCTATTTAGTTGAAGAAAGTTTAATATATTAATTTTTATTTGTTTCTATTAGTTTCAGCTATGATGATGATTGCTTGGTTGATCATTGCGATATGATTGAAAATCCTTAAATGAATAATGAAGTTTCTAAATCTCAATATTCTATTATTAATATTTGGATTTTATTTCATCTGATACTCCTCAGGTTATATAACTACTAGATGTTTCCCTACACCACGTGTAGCGATATAATTTTTAAAATATAAATTATATTTCAAAATATTTTTTTGTTAATATTTCAGATTTTATTATTCTTATACCACAAATATTGATTTAGCTAAACATAAAATTAAAATAATTCAAACAATTTATTTTTAACTATATTTAAGAATAAATATCTATATATATACCATTTAAAATTATAAGCTTAGATAGTATAATATTTTGCAATTTTTTATTTAGTAATAAAGTTGTAGGATTTTAAAAGTGGACTTAAATAATAATTCAAAAAAATTAAAAATTTTATATGACTAAATGTCATATATGAATATATGAATATATTTAATTTAATGATTATGTATGAGTTATTACTGTATTATAAAACTATTACCAAAAATATAAATCGACTTTAAATATAACTATCATGTTTATCACATGCCATGTCATCAATTTTATTAGGCCATGTCATCTTTTTGGTATAAAGATAAAATAATTTGACATATGTTTTATTTCATTAGTGGCTACAAAACATTTTCATTATATACACATTTTTTGTATAATAATTATTTTTCTTAATGGTTTCAATATATTTAACACACATACAAACATACACACACACAGTCAGGTTTACTCTATTACATTACCATTTTCCCTGCCAGATGTAAAAGAATCTCTCATTTGCAGTATCTATCTGTCATCCTTAGGATTTTGTTGATAATTCACAGGTATCTCTTGAGCCTCTCTTTTTACCTCATATGGTACTTGGCCAGCCCAGGGTGTCTCTCTGTCTTTGTCTCTTATCCACATGTTCTATGGATCATCTCTCCTCTACCACGCAATGTTATCACTTTGTATCTGTTCCTGTGAATTTTCACGAGCCACTCTCATCCGCCTTCCACATCTGCATATCTTGTAGAGTGTTAGCTATGATAAAACCAAAAGGCACGTATCAATTCTAGAACTCAGCATCATAAGCGAAGAAATCGTCCTTCATACGATGTCGGTTTTTATGAGAGAAGGGAAACCAATCGTATAGTGGAGAGAAATATGGTGTTAAGTTAACCTTTATCATTTATATGATTGATTCAAATTCATACGGAAAATAAATCTTTGTTAATTTTATGGTAAAGTTTCAACGGTAACTCCGATCGAGATGAAACGACAGACAATATGATCGAGACTTCAAAAGAGAGAGTTTCAGAGAGTGAGGCAAGAGTACAGAGTGTGGAATTGATCTAGGCCACCCAATAGCATTTAGGAAAAAGTTTATCCAACTCGCCCGATGGCGAGCTGGACGTGATCGGTTCAAATCGCCATCATGCAAGCTTGATTTATGCATCCAACTCGTATGATGGCGAGTTGGACTTGGATGGTCCTACTCGCCATCAGCCGAGTTGGATGTGTTCATTCAACTCACCTGATGACGAGTTGGATGCGCTGGTCTAACTCGCCCGATGGCGGGTTTGAATGAAGCTTGTTTGGTTGTTTCAATACCTGGAAATCTTTTGTTCAAGAGGTTGAATGATCTTTTTCGAGGAAATCGTGGTTCAATAATTTTTTTTACGAAGTTTCTAGTTTTACCATGTTTCCATTTTCTATTTAGAGAAGAAAGGTTTCTCAGAAATTTCCTAACGTTGATTTCGTCGTAATCGATTTTGGCCCCAACAAGGAGTTCTTTTTGAGTTTGGATCACAATACCAAAGATAAAGGGAACTCCGGTGATCATTATGGCATTATAGGAAAGTTTGTGGTTACTTTTTTGTGCAAGACTAGAGATAAGAAGGTATGCACAAATATACACTACATACCCGACATAAAGCATTACATATTGAGTCTTGGGTCCAAAATTCATTTACCCAAAAATCCGGAGTCGAAAAGAACCAACCCAAATAGACCCATATCAGGAAAACCCCAACTTGAATATACTCGACCCGATAAAAAACGATTCATAGTTGATTAAAATTATGAATATTCAAAAGTATGACTCCATGAATTCTATTTATGTATTTTAGTTTACAATTTAGTTGTACTTTTTATTTTGTTTGCAATCTTCATTATTATTTTACATGAACATAACAAAAAATTTAGGCATTTTTATTTTATATAAAAAGAGAAAATCATTAAGGAAAAAGTTGAATAAAAAACTTGACTAATAAAAAATATTAATTGGCTAATCATGTATCACTATGTGAATATGCAGCCATGTAAGGGATAAGACAATTCCACAGGAACATAAATTACGAGATAATATATTTTAATCATTTGTTAAGATACTAACATATTTGTAAATCTATAATGAACATTATGATTTCAAATCTCTCATATTATAATGATTAATAATTTTGATGTATATATCTGATAAATAAAACAAAATATAAAAATTCTCTTCAAATCTCAGCCTAAAGACAGAGAATTGGTAATTTAGAATTTTTCGGAAGTTTTATATTAACCTAGTGGTTTTCCCGGGCGTATATAAAATTTAGTTTAATTTAATTTATTATATTAGTTTTGAATATATATAATATCTATATATCAATTTTTAAAAATATAATTCATAAAATAAAGTTTAAATTATTAAATTATAAACGAACTATTATTAACAGTAGATGTTATATGTTTTCTGTTTTAATTATGCTAAGATTTTAAATAAATTTACATGATATTTGATCAAAAACTTTAATGTCTAGATGAGATTGCTTGGTTATTGTTTAATGAACGACTTTTTGACAAACTGATGTATTTAATAATGTCTTTGTATAGGTAGTTTTTTTTATTCTTCAAACTTCTGACAATGTCTATTATAATATCTTTTTAATAAAATTTTGTTTCTGATGTTAAAGCGGGTTATATTTTTCTCCAATTTACTGAACAAAAAATTATAAAATATCATACCTGATAATTCAAAATTTATATAACTTTATATTTAAAAATTTTAAAACATTTTTGAAAAAATAATTGTATATTTATTTTTGCCAACAATCGTAGATTAAAGTAGTGTATACTAAATTTTGTAATATAGTCATTCATAACTACAATAATGCTACTACACTGAGTCTATAATACTTGATAGTTTTAAACAAAATTATATACTGAATTTTTTGTAAGCTTACACGCATTACAGATGCTTGCATGACATTTTAATAATTAATACAATATTTATTCTTGAATAATTATTGTAAACATGTGATAACATTTAGTGGGGGTGGGGTGTTATTGATTCCACTATTTTAATGGATTTAGAAAAACATTTGGATTTAGAAATATTTGATAAATCATATGATTTAAAATCGAGCAAATAGATTTAAGAGTCAAAGATATTGATTTCAATATGAAATAGCTTTTTACGAAATCAAGGATATCCAAATCTTTGATAAATCATATGATTTTAAAATCGAGCAAATAGATTTAAAAATCAAAGATATTGATATCAAAATGA